CTCGTTGTAAAAAATTAAGCCTAGAGACTTTTGAGACTGTCCTGTGTTCCAGAAACAGAAGGTTGTTCTCTGAACCTTAAAATGATTAATCTTAGAATAATCAATTTCACACTGGGAACCAAGGAAAGACTCCACTAGAAGCACTGTGAACAAGGGGATCTACGGCTGATAAAATTACTTCAGCACTTCAAAAGAATGATCATATTGTGGGACTGGGGCTCTTTTATTTTTGTTTCGACCAGCAATACTACTTTTCTTTTATAAAGACTGAGCAGAGTTAATGCTTCATGACACAAGCTGACAAACACACACAAATGTGTGTCACTCCCCTCTCCCTCATTCACCTGGTGCACATGGTAAAAACAACTGTGAGCACATTCCAATGCTCTGAGTATCAAGGGTTGGTTGGGATTACAATTGCTGGTTCAAGGGTCTGGCAATGCCATCAGCCCTACAGCCACATGCTTTACTTTCTTTCCTTTTGTGTTTCAGAAACTGATCATCCCATTGGTGGGCACTAAATAGTAGACCTAGGGGATGAGTGGAGAGTGGCATGGGCAACAACACCAATCCCTGCTGCTATGCTGCCAGTGAGCCAAATCAGAGCCTGTGCCACTTAACATCAGCAGCAGCACAGTGCAGGTATGTTCCCTTACTAGCAGAATGAGCTGTAGTCCTCTCCCACTGCATTGTAAAGGCAGTGCTTTATACATTCATCCAAAATTTTCCAGTAAAAGATGACTGGAATTGCATGAGAGATTAAAAGCTATGTTCTGAAAGTGAAATTTTCCTGTTAGGAGTGGGGAAAATGGGCATCATTTTTGAAAATGCAGACGAGATCAAGCAAGCAATCATGTGGCACTGGGAAACACGTAGTTACAAGCCTGTGCTGGGATTTGAGGTTAGAGTCACAGGCCACAAGTAACATTTGTACCTGATGCTTAAGTCACTGGGTCAGACTGTCTGAGAAATGCCTTGTTCAGTTGCTTTTTTCTCAAAAACCATTCCCTGGAGGTTGCAGCTCCCTCCCAGAAACATCCATTCAAAAAGAACCCCCTCTCAGATACTAATCACTGCAACTGTTGTGTGTAATACCTAATTGGTTTGTGTTGAGAATAGCTCCAGTCAGCACCTCTGTTGCAGGCACAGCTGTTCTCAAACCTTAGGGGGGGAACTCTGTCAAGAGAAGATAGACTGGGCCTTTGAGAACACTAAACAGTCAAGCTGAAGAAACACTCTGCACCAGCTCCCAAGGCCAATTATCCTTTGTGCAGCATAGGGAAACAAATCTGCTTAAATAGGGTTAGTAAAAGCTGCTTGCCCTTTTCCTCTTCTCTTTTTTTCCCTCCCTCTTCTCTTTTTTCCTCCCCACGTGTAGCCAGAGATATTAAGGGCTTGAAAAGATACTAGTAAGTTTGGAAGTGGGATAGAAGCATCCCATAATCCTGCTTAGTGCCACAGTGCTGGCAGATGTAAACTTTCTATCCTTCTGTAGGACAGGTCCACTAGAGACAGCCAGAGTCCTTGGTAACTGGTGACAGAAAAAAGGTAGCCTGTGAAAGTCATTATTACAAAACATCTATGAGGCAAAAAGCTAAAAACCAGAAAGGAGGACTGGATATTTATGCAAAAATAGAGTACACAACTACAAAATGCACTAGGGAGTTTTTAGACCTACCCACTAATGCCAAGTCTTTTTGTGAGGAAGCTATTCCAGAACTGTTTGGTGTAGTGGCACCAGGCCACTCTGGCAGTACCCAGTGTCACCATGTTCAGAAAGAGAAAAGATACTGGGTGAGCTGAACAAAAGAAAACAATTTTTTACTGTGAGGGAGGTCAAACACTGGTATAGGTCATCCAGAGATGTTGTTGAGTCTGCATCCTTTGAGACGTTCAAAACCTGGCTGGACGTGGTCCTGGGCAACCTGGTCTAGCTGACCTTGCTTGAGCATGGAGGTTGAACTAGATTATCTTGAGGGGTCCCTTCCAAGCTCAACAATTCTGTGAGCTACAGCACAGGTACTATTTTAACAAGTCAGTTTCTACACTGCCACTGACATCAGCCTGCTCAGCAAAGGAAATCTGATTAGCACCCTGTCTTACCGACAATTATTTCTATAGGTCACAAACTAGACTTGGAAGAACATTCAACTTAAATCCAGCAATTTTGTGAAAGGATCAGTCCCTTACTGAATGTACACATTCTCTTCAAGATGTAATAAGAGAATAGATGTACTGGGTCAGATGAAAAGTCCTTCCTGCTAAGTATCCTTTCTCTTTTAGAGGCAGGTGCATAAAGAAAAATATGGTGGAACAAGGTACATGTAGAGCAATCCTTCATCAGGTGATAAACTCCTAGTGTCTGGCACTCCAAGGTTTACTGAGCTGTAGCTTCCATCTGGACCATTAGGTTTAAGAGCCACTGATGGACCCATACCCCAGGAATTAACTTAAGCACTTTCTAAAGCTATTTATACCTTAGCCAAATCCTCTGAAATCTCTTGGCAGTAAGTTCTGTCATATAACTACTTGTTTAAAAAGGAAACAAACCCCCCACAAATCCTTCTACCTTCTTGCGTTTTAAATCTGCTTCCTAATCTGAGTAAGCACTCATCCCACTCTCCGTAACTAGGCCTGCCTATTTCCTGTCCTGTAGCTGTGTCTTGGCTCATTCTGTAACTAGGACAGACTAGAACAACGTGACTGCGTTAGCACATCGGTGTGGGAGAAATGCCACCTCTGCTGCCAGGAGCGAGGACAATCTCTGTCCCTAGTTTTAGAAGCATGAGCAGCAGCTCTGGGACAAAGAGGGTCCCGAGGACAGAGCCATTACAAGCTGTATATTTACAACAGCCCATCCGATATATGCGCAGATGCTTTCTGTGAAGGGGGAACAGATTCATACTGATGCTATGCCATGTCATGATGACTTCTGCAACCTCATGCCACAATCCCATTGCAAAGGGTTAAAAACACAGAATAAATCTGTAACTTCATTTTACAATACTGATGCCCTCTAGGCCATTGGTGCTCCTTGTATATGCCTTGGCTGTGACTGAAAACCAACCTTGGGAAAGTTTTCATCACCATTAAAATTAACATATGCAGAGTCCACAAACTGGAGCATACTGCAAGCTAGCCAAATGTTTCATGCACATACACTTTGCTCAATTACTCTCCCTGTGCTTGTATAATCATCCTAGGCCATGCATGCACATGTGCCAGCCCATTCACTTCTCTACTGGCATGCTACTACAATGCCACACAGTTCCTGTGGCCACCAGCTTCCTCCTGCAGAGGTTAAGATGGCCTGCTGTGAAAAGCTTCACATCTGCCAGGCATGTGGATGAAGATGGATCCAGAGCAAGAATGGGCAACTCATTTTAGATCTTACTGAGTTGGAAGACACTGCCACTTTGAAGGTGAGCATCAGTGAAGGATTTTGCTTCTCCACCTCAGACCAGCTTCAAAAATGCCAGTAGGAAGGAGAGACTAAAGCACAGTGAAGGTGCTGAGATTCAGAACTTCTTGTATACAATGCTGCCCCTGAACTGTATGAGTCTGGCAAACCACCTGTCTATTGGTATAATTCCTCTTGCTTAAACTTTACCTTAGATTCAGGAAAAAATGTAGTAGATAGCAAATCACCCAGATGTGTTCCATCATCAGTGGGTATGTACAGAAGGGCAGCTCCAAAGGTCTATGACAAAGTCTGCATCACTTGAAAGGGATTTGCAGACATGTACCTTCAAGACCTGATAGGTCCAAGCTATGTGACTCCTGGACTCCCTCTGGAGTCCAGCCTGCAGAGAATTGGCCTTTAACGTGTCTTTTTTTTTTTTTTTTTTTTTGTCCTCTGGACATGCCGGTGGATTACGCTTCTGACAATCCTCACTTTGGCAGCAACTGGTACCGTCTTCCTTTTGCAAGAACCCTTCATAGCAGCAAAGGTAAGAGACAACTGCAGATAACTGATTGGCTTTTTCTGTTTCCTGCCTTTTCATGTCCTGGACATAGCTGGAGAGGTTAAAAAGTAACATGCACTAACAGCAGATGTAGTTTATGGCCTGTTCTAGGGAAACCAAACCAAACAGCTCACAATGCAGAGAATGCCACAGTGTTGTAGGAGCTGTGGAAATTGCTTCCCAGCTACTTCATTAATGCTTTGAGGGGGAGGGGTACACATGGCAGGACTGAACACATAGATCAAAACTATTTTGTAATGAATTACTGTAGATGTCCTGCTAATGAGCTACTTTGACTTCTAAACCTGCCATGCTACATCCTTGTTCTCCATCCCTAGAATCACCACTCTGATAAAACACCTCTCGAGCTTTTACAGCAACCCTCATCCCTGCCTGCATGTGCCCACTAGTATTTCTACCATGAGAAAAAAATGTTAGTACCTAATCCATCGTGATATGGACACTCATTTTGCCCACATGAAAAAAAAATCCTCAGAAAACCGATGGCAGGAATGAGCGGCCAGGAAACCACTTTCTGCCCAGGCCTTAATTTAAGTGTATGTTGCACACTTCTACCAAAAAAGTGTTGAGTGCCTCTTCTACAGAGGCAAACAATTTTCTTGCTGCTAACACTGGTTCTTGTCCATATGTCCCCGATACGCAGTTAAATGTTCACGATGGTCCCTGCCAGAGTGAAATTTACCCTGTATCTTGTGTTGATTTGACAGCTAGTTGTTACTTTCAGCATTTTCTGGACCTACTTACATTTTGGCAGGGAACTGAGAAGTGTGCTGTAATCTTTGCTTCTCTTCCTCTTCAGAGGAGCTATCCATCTCCTGTGGAAGGGATGGATAGCAAGAGAATATTCTTGCTTTCTGGGAAACTCCCTTCCCGTCTCCCAATTTGTATTGCTTCTTATCAGCAAACAAGGTTTCTGTTTTTAAAAAAAAAAAAAAAAAAATCACATTTCTGTTTTTATTCATGCAAAACCTGGGAAAAAGTCTGCTAGGAAAACACAGCTTGAAGCCTCTAGGCATTCAAAAAATAAGGAAATGAAAAAACATCCACATAGTTTGCGAAGTTATTCAGTGGCCAGTAGTTCACGTTCATATATTTGTTCATACCTCAGCTGTGGAATAGCACTGTTCCTTTGCAAAGAACTTATAATACAAAAAGACATAGTTGCAGTCAATGGGCTCTGTTCCTGAGGTACCTCAGCCTAATTCCTCATGAGGGCAGTAGGTTTAGATGAAGTAGGAAATCCCTCAGCCTCATTCTGCCTTCCATGAGAACTCTGCTGTGATTGGACATCCTTCCCATTTCCATTTTCTCTCTTGCTCAGTTGACAAAGCTTTACACACAAAGGTGCCAGTATCTTAAAGGTACTTCCAACCCTATTTTACAGACATTTAAAGAAGCCATCAGACAGAGTACTTTTTCGAGTCAAGACACAAACTGAGTCCACTTAGTTTTAGCCAACAGCTAGTAAAATTTAAAACCTAAACCCTTGCCTCCAAATAACCTATGCTGTGGAGCTGAGAATTCAGATACAGGTGTAAATTTGACAGTGCTACTGGTCATTATGCATCCAAGGATAGTTGGATCAGATGCTGGAAAAGTTAAACAGTACTGCGATTTTGCTGTTCGAGCCCAGGTACTAGAAACACTGGCGATGCCCATAGGCTGAACAGACTGGGGGCGGGGAGTGTTAAAAGTTTCCTATGGCTTTCTAGAGTTTTGCATCACAGACTTATAAATGCCCTTCTGTTGCACCCTGTCATCAACAACAAGTATTGCAACTAGTACTGGCTACTCCCAGTCATGTGACAAGTCACAGACCTCCTGGAAGCAGCTTTCACATCAATAATGTGCTTTGTCTGACAGAGGTACTCCCTCCTCAGCTAGCTTGAAGACAAGTGCTTGGATTTTTAAATTTTTTTTTAAGTCTTGTTGGCTTGTTTTGAATTAGATGGCATTCACCTTCAAGACTAATTCAGCTTCAGAAGAATCTGTTTAGTGAGCAAACTTGGCAGCTTTAGAACAGGTGCTATACCTCAGCATATGGCCATCACTTCATTACAATTGATCCATGATCTCTGCTGATGCCTCTGATCACTGGTAAGACAGAAAGCAATTATTGCAGTCTGTACGCTAAAACCAACCCAAATACAAATGGAAGTTCCAAAGCCTTTTATTGTAGCCCTTGCATGGCTGAGCTGCCCTCTAGAGGGATGGACTATGCATCATCCCAAAGACAACATAGGATGGAGAGAATCATGAACCCTGGAGAACGTGTTCATTTGACAAGATCCTTCACAAACTTCCAGCCTTCCACAGTGTATTCACAGGCCCTGGTGGGAGCTACAGACAAGGCAGACATGACTGTCTGCACTCCTGCAAGGAAAGCAGAGAAGAATTATCCCAAGAAGAGCATCATTCACGCCAAATTTCCTAATGGTATTCTAGCATTGTAGATTTCTTTAAACACAGAGAAAAATCTAGCTCTTATCTCAGAAGCTTTGAAACACACTAAGGCCTGAACGATCCTTGGTTCAAGTACAGCTTTATTGTCTCAGTAGCATATGTGACACAGAGAAATTCCAACTTCAGGACCAGTATGAGGGATAGACAATTACCAGACTGAAATGAAGAACTGAGCTAAGTTCCATTTTATTTCTGGCCTTTCCACAGACTCCATGAGTGATGCAGGACGTGTCACGATATTTGTGGCCCGTGTTTTCCCACAATTACGTGAAGACTTTTTGCTGCACCATAAAAAACCTATAAATTAACTTACTAGGTATTTATAACATGCTGTGGCCTTCAAGCAAGATCTCTAAAACTCTAATAATAATGGGAATACTCATCCCTTCTGAAAAGTCAGAGGCTGATTTCAGACATACAAGCATCTGAAAAGTTTATAAACTCTTCAATCTTTAACCAAAGGTTCACCTTTCTTAAAAATAAGTAATCATTTATTTTTATGCTCTACTTTTTTATGCTCTACTGATCACTACCGGTGCTGATGAACTCACTGGTACCTAAAGTCTACCTATGTATTGTGGTGGCCACAGGCCTCCCCAAACACTTCACCGAAACATTCAATCTTAGATTGTAGGATAGCATAGGCATGCCTGTCTTGGGGCACAGGTGGGCAGCAAGCTTTGTAGGTAAAAGAAACACCAGCTCCTCTGGTTAGAAAAGGCAGACAGGTTTATGGGCACACATCCTCCTCCTTATTTCACAGTTGGAACAAGAAATTAAGTCCAAAGTCACTCAGCATGCTCGTGGTAAAACCTGGAGCAGAATACACTTTAGTCCCAGTCCCAATGCTTCTTACACCAGACTGTAACATCTATCACCTCCTTCTCAATCATTCAATTTAGGAGGACAGTATTGAAACAAGACTGGTAGAAGCTACATCACTCTTGGCCCCTTGCTCCTTCCACAGTTTGGTGAGAAGTTACTTTACCTTTATTCCAGGAATCAGAGGGGGAAAAGTCAAATTTTGGAGTGGGTGGGAGCTAGAAAGAGAAAGAGAGACAAGATATCAGCACTTAAGGGACTTTGCTTGTAACAGGATTCACATCACCTTGGAGAAGACTCTTGACCTCAGATCTCAAAGATACTTAGGTGCCTACTCTCTGAAAGTCTCAAAAGGGATCAGACACGAGGCCTGAAGTCTGGACTTTGCTCTTTCCCCCAGTATAAAGTAGGGGCAGAAGGTAGTACTTAACATTTGGGTGCTCCTGAAAAATCATCTCCATGGCTGTCTCCTTACAGTGATCTATTAGTTTAGAATAGTCTCTAATATGAAAAATGCTTTTCAAACTTCCAGCAAAGGCTTCTCCTGTTCTGAGGATTTTAAAAAATAAGAATTCCTTAAAGAGAAGGGCCTCTTCAGGCAATTTAAATTCAACTTGATGAACTGTTAGCAGCTTGAGAAATTGGGAAGAGAATCTTTTTGTTAATTCTTTAAAAGCATGTAAGATCCTTCAAAAGAAGCTTGGAAATACCACTACATAGTGAAATATCTCCCAGAGCATGCTTGCAATCCCCTCCTTGACCCTGCATAGGCTAGTTACCCCTTCTCCTTTGAAATAACATCTGTGAGCAATGTCTCTCCCCTAAATTTAAAATTTTATCCTCCTTCCATTTTAATCCTTTTTAAAATATTCTCAATGTGAAATCCAGTTCCAACAGCAAAACTCCTGCCAGCATCACTGGAACCAGAATATCACCCCAATGTTTTCTCCTCCTCATTCAGAGAATGTTTTTGTTTTGCTGACTGTGTTCATCTGCACAGTACTTACCTCCCAGCCTATGTACCTTGTCCACTCTTGGATAGCTGGAGGCAGTGCTGCTTGAGCTTTTTTGAGGGCTTCAGCACCTTGTGTGCCACTGCCCAGCAGCCCCTGATCATATACCACATATACAGCAGCTCCAGCCAGGCCTCCTTTGATGACAAACCTGAAAGAATCAAAAGCAGCAACATTTCAGTTCATGTTATGACTATCAATGCATCTCTCTCAGTAGGTTGTGACCATCAAAAGGAAGGTATTGATAAAGAAATCTGAGGGTCACAAATACTCCACTGTAATGTCTTATTACAGACAGAAAGCAGCAGACAAGTATCTAGCTACCTTCCTTTTCTTCCTAGGCCAACTATTCCCTGTCAGCCCCTTGAAACCATACCCATTCACATTTTATCAGTGACAGTTTTCAATAAAAAATGAGAAAGTGTCAAACACCTCAGAGTATGTGCCACTTTTTAAAGTCTGAGAATCATGGGCATATACCTTTGATAAAAGGAACTATAGGATTTTGCAGTGTGTAAGACATCCATGTTAATGATGTGGTTCTTGCTGTTTTGTTAATAAGTAATCTGATTAATCTGACAGACACCAATATCTTGTTAAGCTCATTATAGTCCGGTTAACACCTGGCCATGCCTGTTCCTGCATTGCCTAGGCTTTTAAGGTTTCCCAGTAGACTCCATGGTGTGCAAACACTAGTTTTACAGCTGTAGTGGCAACCTGCAAAGTGGAAGACAGGAAGAGAATATTTGACCTTTGTTTACTTTTTCATTATAGACAAGAGATCTGGGGAGACTGCCTTTTTCAACTTTACAGGGCAGAGAGTTGCTTCCCATTTAAAAAAGCCAAAAAGCTATCGCACACCTAGGCAAATAAAAGAACAGCCAACGAAACAAAAAGCTGCCAGATAGCAGTACTGCAGTAGTAGAACATAGGCTAGATACAGCCTCTGAGAGAAGTAAGAGAGAATCAATACTTAAATCCATGTATTCACAAGTATTTTGGGGAAAAGGCACCCTTCCACACCTTCTCCCTTCGAGCGGGCTGTACGTTCAGATCGGAAAGTGTTCCCTCAGCAAACAAGCGCCCTTGGGCGGCATTCCCAGGTTTTATTTGACGCATCCACGCTCGCCACGAGAACACCGCCAGACGCCTGCCAGGCGTTTGGAGGCACACCGAGAAGCTGCCGGATGGAGGCCAAGCCTGGCACGGGGCCAGACGAGGCCGAGGGCGCAGTAAGGCCAGGCGCCGCCAGGCCGAGCCGGGCCGGCCGGGGCCCTGGCCACAGGCC